GTGAGAACCGTGTCGTGCAATTTTCTCGGGCGCGAGTCGCATCATCGCAAAACACATTTTTACGAGCGGCTGGTATATTACCGTCGATTTTTCTCCAGAGAAAAGAGCGGAACGCGTAATCGTTCGGCTTTCAAACCGCGATAAAAGCCGCGTGGAAGAGCGAGAACGGTCTTCTTTTTTGTTTTGTCGAAATCACAGGCTTGAAATGAGATATTGTGGAGGAGAGAGGAGGGAACTTCGTGAGACAATAGACGTTGCCGCGGGATTTTAATTTGTGGGCGTCTTACGGTAAAGAGGCCGCGCGCGTCGTCCCAAATGCTCGTGCCGTTATACGATATTTTCAAGGCCGGACGTGATCTCGCCTCGGTGAGGGACAAAAAGAATTGGCTCGCGATTCTATTCGGCGCCGGCTCCTTAATCCACTTATCTGTTTCATTAGAAAGGCAGCGAGCGTTTCATTATACTTTCCCCGAGTCCGCGCGCGAGTCTCTCGGCCTCTGAAACTCGTCTCCTCTTCGTTATATCTCGCGCGGGTTAATTTAAGAGACGACTTTTAGAGATTATAAGTTTAGCGCGAAACTCTTCATCCTCTCGCGCGCGCGCGCGCGAACTTGTGCGTGTCGAACTCTCGGAGAGGGATCTCGAAGCAATTATCCGCCACCGACATTCTTCTTCTTCACCGAGATTTCACCCCTCATTTTACGGTATCCGCGCACTTGACTCGATGTTCTTACTTCGTCGCATTAACCTTCCCGCAAGATTTAAATAAAGCTCCTCGGGTCCGCGTCTACACGTTGTGAAAACGCAGTGGCTCGCGCGCTTGATGTTATATAATTCATTTGAAACTAGCATAACACAGGCGCTAAGCGCATGCTGTTATTATTTTAACGTTTAGTGAAATAAATTATATATAGTACGTTATATATATATATATATATATATATATATATATAGATATTATAAATTATATGTATTATATATATTATTTAATGTTATATATA